CATGCCACCACAGCACTGCAGCCCACGCACGGCACGCGGGCAGCCGGGCCCCAGCGCACACAGCGCCCAAGCCTCCCTCCTCAGCAGCGCACAGCAACTGCTCATCGAGACAAGATCTTTTTGCAGGACACAGCCGATATATGCGAGCAGTAATGCACAGGAACATCATGCAAGAGGAGACAACTGCACTCCAGGAATTTAGAATTATTCAAATCTATATTTTTATTTTCTTCCTCTTGCATATAAATCATTCAGTGACACAAGCAGCGTTTGTGACGAAGCTGCTTCTCACGTACAAAAGCCATCAGAGCTAATAAGAGAGATAAGGGAGACAGAGACACACAAAGACTTAGGACCTTGGCAGAGCTCTCCGCAGCAATTCACGTCCCAAGGCATCCGTGTCACTGGCTGTTAGAGTAGAATCACTCTCAGAAGCGATGACACTAAAAGGGCATTTTTTTAGTCTTAGCAAGTGGACTGTAAACTTATGGTTCCTATTAGGAGAGGACTGCAATCTTCAGCGATTTCCGCCAAGAAGAAGTGACCTACGGCCAGAAGTCTGACTGCATCACAGACACCATCACAAAAGCAATGACCTTAATCTCTGAAGATTTTAAGATGCCACTCAGGAATACATTAACGTGGGGAAAAAACTCGTTAAGTCTGTATTTTTTTTGCTTTTACTTCAATGTCTCCATACTAGGGTTTGCCTTTTTACCTTTTTTTTTCCCCCTTAAACTTCCCATGAACAAGCTGCCCCGTAACTTGTGAAGCTTTCCCTCAGCCACAGAAGACCAGATGTCTGGCTTCAGCTTTTTCTCAAAGCAAGAAGAAAAAAACAAAACTAACGCTGCGGACAGTTGGTTTCAATGCTAACAAGTCAAGAGTTTCATGCGCTATCTTGTTGCTTATGTAAATAGCTTCCTCTAAAACGAGTAATGACTCACGGGATTTGGGGATATTAATTCCAGGGGAGTTTAAAGGGACCTTACAGGAGGCATGGAGATCATCTGGTGCATGTTTACTTCTGAAATACCAGTGCTTTGAGTCCTAACGCTATTAACACGGCAAAGGCGTACCATGCATTACTTGGAGAAAAAACAAAGGTCTAGAAACAAATACCTTCCTTTGGGTTTGTTATTTTAAGAAAAAGGGTCAACGTGCCTAGGAAACGCTCCTTATATAAGCAATTTTCATCTCCAGCCAAGTCCCGTTCGGGGCCGCGCTTGTGGAAATGACGAGTGGGGAACTTGGCCTTGAGGAAATTCTGCTCAGCGAGCCTTGCCCGCACGTTGCCCATGGCCAACGTCCAAGTTGACCAGCGTGAAGGTTCCCATTTCTATGGCTGAAGAAACTGAGATGTTGGCAGTGTCTCCCAGGACAGCTGAACAGCTGGGGGAAGTTCCCCTTTCTGTCCACCGAGACAGCTGGGGTTTAGGCTCATTTTCAGTACGTGTCCAGAGGAGTTTCTTTCCAAAGCTTTCTACATGCTGCCCAAGCCCGGCCTCGCTGCTCCTGCACTGCAGATCCCCAGGAGAAGCTACACTTTGGCCTGGGGGTATGCGGTGCTGGGCCATGGACACCCCCATGGCGGGGCCGCTCCCACTCCGCTCCCCAGATTCATGCCCCAGGGATCACAGCTATGACGTTTTCCTCACTCGGAGACTCAGTGTTTGGGAAGCCACGCGAAGGGCTCCAAGTCCCAGGGCTCCTCAGAGCAGCAAGAAGAGCTCCTGCTCCTGTGAGTGTCTCTAGGACACGAGGTGGCCTCTCCCTCTCCCCTGCATCCCCTCATGACTAAGGCACCAGCAGATCCCGGCCAGGCAGCAAGCAGAGGAGCCAGCAGTCCCGCGGACACGGGCTGCTACCCCCACCAACAGCAACCGGGAGAGCAGGCGCGTCATCCCTAACATGATTCCATGAGTCAGAAAATAGCTCTGACAACTGTCAATGCGCTCATTCATCCCAGTGGAAGTTAATTCCGGGATTCGGACAACACAGGCTAGGGGGGAGAGAGGGAACAGGACACAGAGGCCACGCTGAGACGAGTGGAGCCACTTGCCTCAGAGACCCCTTCGTTACGGCGCCAGCTGAGTGCAATTCCCCTCACCTCAGAGACTTGCTAATTATTTTGTTTTGATGGCAAACACTCATCTGAAAAGCACCAGCCTCTGATTACAGGGTCCAGCCCTCTCCATGTTACAGCTCTCCATGCCTAACCGCTAGGCAACAACAGACGGAAATACCTGGGGGCAAGGTTGGGAAGGGCTTAGAGCTGCCAGAAGCGAGGAATGCTCCCCTGCGCGTCCCCATCCCAAGGAGATCGTGTCCGTATCTCCTGCCTCCCGACCGCGCTGCGGCGCAGCGGGGAGGACACACGCACTCATGCAGCCCGCGTACCAGGCACAGCTTCGGAAAGCGGAGCAAGGGGTGGCAGCTCCCCGGGCACACAGGGCATCCCCTCTGCCACCGTCACCACGGACGGAGGGACCTTTACCGCCAAGCGGGATGAAGCAGCAGCTGAACGTGTCGCCTGCACTGCAAAACCAAGGGAAAAATATTTAGCCGCTTTTATTTACTTATTTATTTATCTTTAATCCCACTTCCCTGTCAAAGCTGCCAACGAATCGGGCAATCCTCTTTGGGAAGGAAAACAGCTCATGAAGATGAGAGCAGCTCCCGCTTCTCCCCAGGCTTATAAAAGCAGGGCTGAATGTCACCAGTGGCCACGCGAGCTCGAACCAGCCTTTGCAGCACTGGCACGGAGATAAGGCAGAACCCAGCACAGGCAGGAGACTTGGGGGGAAAAAAAAGCTGATAATCTTTGCAACTATTTCAGAACAAAATAGATTTTTTTTCTTTCAAGAAGGGAGCTGGTATAAGTAAAAGGCTTGGCTCTTTGGACAGAAAACCAACAGAAAAAGCATGCCTCCGGGCACTGAGCTCCAACAAAGCATGCTTCAAACCATGCTGGCACTACAGAAAAGGTCCTCAAATTGCCTTGGACATTATGGAAAAGGTCCTCCTTGGTTTGGGGCCAGAGGGGCAGAAATTCTGTTCAAACAGCGCTTCCTGGGAGACTGTTGGTCGAGCTCTTGCTGAAGATGCAAACAGCTTAGGTTGGAGAAACTCCATATCTCACACCATCACTGGCTACAAAAACGTCTGGGCAGAGTCCAGACTCAGCCTGCCGCAGCTCTGCCTCCCTCGGAGGGACAAAAACAATCCACAAGACAAGCAAACCATTTTCCTTGGATTTCTTCTTGAAAAGGAGACAGGAATGTGGGCAGAAGACACGTTGTCTCTCCAGGTTCCAAGCCACCAGTGGATGCACGCCGACCGCGCCGCGCTCAACGCATGCGGTGCTTGCAAGGCTTGCGCAAGACGTTCGGACCGTGGCTGCAGAACAGAACAGGCTGCAGCTCTAGTAATTTCTCCCTTTCTGCCTCCAAGTTGCCTCCCTCAGACCCGAGCTCTAAGCCCATGTGCCCACAAGTTTTGCTGCTGTTGTATCAGGTATCAGTCCACAGTATTTCGTGGGTGCCAGGGATGTGAATCCAGCAGCACCCACTCATCTGGCAGGAGCAGTCCTTCCCTAAGGGAAAACACAGCTTGCAACAGGTAAAGAGCCGTCCTATGCCTGTATACCCTACAGAGCAGCGTGTCCTACGAGGTGAGCTGGTTTCAGGAAGCTTGAGCTGATGCCTGCTTGAACAATAAGCCTTTGGGAAGCAAAGGCCAAAAAGAAAATTAAAAAAAAAAGAAAAAAAAAACAGCCTTACTCAGCAAGAAGTCTTCTCCAAAGGACAGATGCCAGCCCTACCTCAACATTTATTTCTAGGGATTCCATGCAATTGGTAATAACAAGCATCATCAGCCCAAATTCCAACCCAGAAAGGTTTGAGCAAGGAGGAATAAAAATCCATGACCGCACACAACTAGTTTTGAACAAATCTGAGGAAGCTGAGCAACACAGTCCTTCTTAGTTACTTCTTCTTTTGGGTTATTTGTTTTCATTTTAAAGCAATGTGCCGACTTCCAGTAGTAAACACGCGACTCTCCACTGGGCTTGAGAGCAACTGCCCATGCAGACAGAGCATAACTCTAAAAATAATAACAGGATTTCTCTGAATCGTGATGACTTGCCCAGCAGTCTCAACTGGATCCAGATGTTATCAGGATTCTAATGTGACAAACCAAAGGACTCTGGAAAGTGCTGAGGTTTTAGGAAGACGGAGGGTGTATTTTTGTTTTTATTACAAATTTTATCTTTTCTTTCCAAAGCCTCTTCACTTTTTGGCTCAGACTGGCCAGTCCGCTAGGAAGTTGTGGGAAAAAGACCAAGAAAGCAGAAGGCAAATTTCTCCCCTTTTCGACTTTATGGGTGTCATTCTCAGCAGGACAGGGTGAAACGGGAACTCAGACTGGCATCTTGCTGTCCTCAGTCCCAGCTGGCTACACCACGCCAACATCACTGTCCTTGGCATCTGCCCGAGAGCAGACATTGCTTCAGCTCATGGACTATAAAACCATGAATCTGCTACGAGGAACTAGATCAGTTCCCTCAAACACAGTTTAAAAGACAGCTTTATTTCTCCCTGGCCCTAGCCCGCCATCTACAGTAGCCGGTTTGACCCATCAATCAGCACACTACACATCCTCAGAGGCTGCTCCGCTCGCCCACTGCCTCTGCCGCAGACAATTCACTTCGGAGAGAAATGCTAGTGCTCCTACCCACCAAGAGGCATTTGTTTTAAACACACCACCAAACTTCAAGCACAGACTGAAATAGCACACCACTTCCCTCTTGGGAAATGCCTTTTTCAGTTGATTTATACATATATATTTTTTTAACAAAGGCACAAATATCTGGGCATCATAAATCTCCGGTTAATGAGCATGAAGTTCAAAAACACTTTGGAACAGCTATCAAACCTTCCCAAGAAGGTCCAACTACACTCACCTGCTACAGAAATAGACCAAAAACCCCAGTTTGTTACCTGTGCTCAGATCAATGTCATCATCCATCTTCCAGTCATTTTCAAGCTCACCATCAGGCTCCCCTTTTCGACTCCTTATCCTTGAAAACCCACTGGAGAGAGTCGAGAAGAATCCTCGGAGGAAGTGGCCCTGCTGCTCGCAGGGCCCCGCGTGCCCGAGCGCCAGGAGCGTCTTGGCGCTCCTGCTCCCCGACTGCGGCACGGGTTCTGAGAGCGAACGCCTGAACGGCACCCGCAGCGCTTGAGTCCTTGCCTGGGACAGGGTCTCCACGGGGTCCTCGTGGCTGTCACCGGCGCTAGGAGCACCCAGGTATGCTGAACTCTGGACAGGGCTCTGCTCGCTCCACTCTGCGGTAAGGCTGCCGGAGTGCTCCTTTCTGTTCATCCCCCAGGGAAGCCGGGCATGCACCTGCCACCTGAACGCCCGCAGAGGTGTCTCAGGGTCAGAAGCCACTTGTTTATTCATTTTCCTGCTCTTCGTTTGGTGGTACCAGTGATAGTCCTTCAAGGCAGCGGTGCCAGCATCTTGCTCGGACAAAGATCTTTTAAAGACCCTGGCAGAGGAGCTACGGTGCTTTTTAAAAGCACTCATTTTCCCTTCCAACTCTTGATTTGCAGCTCTTCACTTATATTCCTTGCAGCTTACGAGTCGTACAAGCCATAGTTCATCCCTGAAGGTCACTCACCGTGGTAAGACCACGGAGGCTCTTCCCGAGGCGCTTCAGCATCAGCTCCAGCATGCCGTATTTCTGCATCTCAGCAGCAAGGACAAGCCCTCGCCTAGGGCAGGCCGCTGTCAGACGCCACATTCGCCTTTGCTAAGCCTGCTGCCGCTTCCTGCATGCTCGTGTTTCTGCACCAAAGCTTCAGGAAATGACTAAAAGAGCCCAGCCATGAAAAGCCACAGTGGGGCTCTGCACCAATCGCTGCACCCGCTCGTTCGACAATAAAGGGTTGGTTAAATAAAAAGAGAACCAACGTGAAAGTACTTCACTCTAGAGACACAGCGAAGTCAGAGGAAAATGTTAAAAAAAAGTGCTAGACTCAACTGAGAGTCACACATTAAGTTCCGGAGGTAACGGGTGAAGCGCATCCAAAGCCAGCCTTGAGTACCACACGTAAAGACAACTCCTAGGGACTGCATTTGCCCACAGGTATCTTGTATCGCTCAAGAACACCCCAGCTTCTCTTCAGAGAGAGGCAAAACGCCTGGCTTCATCAGGCTCGAGTGCTGCAGGGAGGGACGGAGTGACGAGAAGGAACGCGGCAATTAATGCAGTGAGGGTATAAATACGCTGAAGGAAATCAAAGCAAGGGGAGGAGAAAGGGGCGGGTGGGATTTCACCAAACATAGACCAGAGCAAAGAACGGGCTAGTTCTGAGGGAAGATCTTATGGCAAACGGAACATGACAGCATGCCTTTTATTTCTTTTCTTTTTTTTTAATTTAAATAAGAGAATAGGGTTTTATTTATAAAAATCCAGTTGGGATAAGTGGGATGGAAAAAAATAGTCCTATCTGTTTAACTGAGAGGAAAAACACGGTTGCTTTCTCCACAATTTAAGAAACAGCTGACTGTTTTAAAATCTCATGAAGAAAATATCTGCTGTGAACTCAGATCAGGCTTGCCAAGTTTCAACCAGAAAGACTTTAAAAAAAAAAAAAGAAGAAGAAATTGTCTACTTAATCCCTGCAAATAGGGGGTTTATAATGGAAATGCTGACAGGCCCCTGGCAATTATAAAAGTGACAATGAATACTTCTCCGGTTAAACAAAATGCCAGTCTGGTCTGGCAGACCAAGAAAGCTCTGCTGCGGATTGCGCCTTTAGCCAGCTTTCACGCAGCGGCCGGCGTGCGTTCCTGACGGCTCTGCATGCAAAACGCCTTCCCTGTGTGTGTGCACGTGGGAAAGGACACTGCCGCCGCTCCCTCGAAAGGCACGGATGCGCCTCAGGAGCTCCCGCGGGTAAAGAAAGGGTCTCCCTCCTCAGTAGCAAGTTACAGTCTTCAGTTATAAGTTATAAGCAACATCGGTGGCTATCTAAAGATGTCAGGTTCAGGAAGTTGTAACAACCAAGCTCAGAAAAAGCCCCCTCAGACCACTTGCTGCAGGTTCTGGACCAAAAATAACGACGTTGCCTGAAGTGCTTCGTACAGAGTTGTGCTGTTCAGAGCACGAGTCTTAACCCAAACCACCAACCTCAACTAAAAGTGCTGCAACTCCCTCCCAGCAGAGGAATGATGAGTGGCTAGATGCAGACATACAACCTGGGGAGAAAACGAGAGGCAGAATTCACCAGGAAAAAACGCTAGCCAGGTCTTACCCAGGCAAGCCATCCAGTACTTGGGCATAGGACAAGGGGAGGCCTTGTAAGCACCCCCTGCCTTGAGCCGCAGCCCCTGTTGGCAGCTCCTCTTCCTCTTGATCCCCTCCAGCAAGTGCAGAGGCCCAGGAGACCTCATTTCTGAAGCAAAGAGTCATCAAGTGACCCTAACAGGTGCCTGCAGGTACTACATCCCCTGCCCCACTCAGCACAGGTCCACGTTTGCCCTGTTGAGCCTTCAGCTTCTGCTGGGGCCATGCTGCTTTAAGTAGGGCTTTGGATAAGCCCGTCTGCCCAGGCCTGAAGGCTTCTCGCGGGCGTCCATGAGGTGAGACGGGCAGCAGCGCTGGGCAGCCCGTGCTCCAAGGCACCCGAGTGCGCAGTGGGGCGCTGAGCGCGGCAGTAGGGCCAAGGGCCAGGGCTCGCCTTGGAGAGTGGGCACCCACCGCAGCAACGTTCAATGGGGGGTGGATTCAGCCCAAAGGAGGCCTGGTGCTGAGGCTAGAGTTGGCGGGGCCGCCAGGCCTGCGCCCATCCTGCTGCTTGTCCTTCATCTCCCTTCCAGGGCGCTTCGCGGCGCGTCGCTCCGTCACCCGCCTTCTGCAGACCACCCATTTCCACAAAGGCAACGCACACCGAGCAAGACTAGCTGTATCAAACGACAGCATGAGGCAACGTGCAGAAACAGCTATGCTTCCACGAGTTTAGTTTTTTTTTTTTCTTCTCATGTGGTCAGGGCTTGGACAGCACTTCCATGCAGAAGTGACTCAAAGGGAAAAAAAAAAGAGTGCTTCGCATTCACTATTCGACAGCAAGTCCAGGAACATCAAAGTCACAGTTTAGTTTAACTTTAAATAATGTTAGAAGCCTTTACATTTTTGATTTCCCTTTTCACTTTTGATTTGATACCACTGTTGCTCAAATAAATGCATTTTTAGATCAAAGGAAGTCGCTATCCAGCTGTTTGCAGTTAGCTGAGATCTGGCCGTTCTGCACAGAGGGCAGAGGGTCTTTCTCAAAGCAATTCTAAACATGAAAGGAGGGGCCTACACGTGCATCAGTGATGCTGTGTGAATGAACAAGCTGGCTTAGTCTACAAATAGGACCATTTCTTTACACTGCTAACTCTAAAATGCAAGCGCTGG